TTATTATTATTATTGGGACTTTACATTTACAACTTTTCAATCATTCATTCTATTAACTTATATAAAAATTTACTAAAGATTTTATCTTTATCTAAATCAAATAAGGGCAACGTGTTAAATTTCATTTTAAATTAGTACCACTTTTTGAAAGTTAAAAAGTTGCTTTCAAAAAGAACAAAAAGGATAGATGGTTCTATTCTAAAAGACTTCAAATTTTTATTATGGAGAAGCTAAGTAATTGACTTTTGTGGAAGCAAGCTCTCGGTGGAGTCAAACTAAGCATGCTGAGTAGGCCAGCGTAAACAATGTCAATTTTTGAAGTTAATGACATGTACGATAAAAGTAGTGAAATCTTATACGTATATAATTATAATCCGTCATTAATTTTTAATTAAAATTTTTATCATTTTTTTAAGACTTATACACGAAACTCATAGTAATTTGCCTATATAAACCTTCCCACGAGCCTAACCATACCTCAAACTCATAATCTGCCTATATATATACTATCTCATCTTCATAGTATTCCTATATATATATACGAAGAGTCCCCCACAACCATCTCTCTCTGTCTATATATATGGATTCTAGTGATTTCATAGTGAGTATGAAGCGGAGAGAAGCGGTGGCGGCGGTGCTGCCAGTGCCGGAACAAGTTTTGCCCATGTCAAACCTAGATTTGCTCCTACCACCCCTAGATTTTGGAATTTTCTTATGCTACAAGAAAAGTAGCAATTACACTGAGCAAAGTCAGTCGCCTGAAAGTATGGTGACTGTTATAAAGAAAGCTCTTGCTCAAGCACTAGTGCCCTTCTACCCATTTGCCGGAGAAATCGTGCAGAACCACCTTGGCGAGCCTGAGCTTCTCTGTAACAACGCCGGGGTAGATTTTGTACATGCATATGCTGACATAGAGCTCAAAGAACTGGACTTTTATCACCCGGATTTATCTGTTCATGAAAAGCTCGTTCCCGTTAAGATTCGTGGCGTGCTTTCAGTTCAGGTTAACTATCCAAACTGAATTCCTATTTTACATCGTTTTTGTTGAGTTTGTGGTTTATTGCACCACGTTAGAGCAGACAAAAGTACTACAGTTGAGCTTCGCCTTCGCGAATGCTGATTTAAAATTATGAAATAATCCTTCTTATAAAAGTTTCACGAACACAAATTTATTTTCTTTTAAAAAGCTCCTTTGCATGCAGCGTAATTGATATATTTCATTAAATGTCTAACATATACGAGTGTGTTTGGTAGGGATTTTGAGGGAAGAATTGATTTTTGAATAGTGATATGATGGGAAATATGTGGTTGAAAAAGAAGAAAAAAGTATTGTTGTGATGGAAAATATTATTTTATTGAAAAATGTGTGGTTGAAAATGAGAATTGATTTACTGTAGAAAATGCGAATCTGTACCAAACAGGCCCACAATATAAAATTGGAAACCGATCCATTTATAATAGGAAAAAACCAATACAATTGAGGGGATAAATTTAAAATTTTCATCATTATGGTAGAACCCAACAATTTGATCATTTGGGTCTATTCAAAATAAGAATTCGAAGACAACTTTACGTTTTATTTTTATTTTGCATTGCATGAACTCGTCAAATAACCAAAGAATTTGATGATTTGAGTCTATTCAAAATATAATAGGTTTAATAAGAAAGAATTCGAAGACAAGTTTCCGTTTTATTTATTTATTTATTTTGCATGTCATGAAATCGTCAAACAAGCCAACCATATATGGGGCCTGAATGACTTTTACATACTATGAGGTTAATTTATATATTTCTTCAAGAAAAAGATTACACCCCTGTTTGGTACGCATTAAAATTTTCATTTTTATTCTTCTACTCATTTTCAACCACACATTCTTTAATAAAATAATATTTTTCATCACATCAATAACTTTTCCTTCCTTTTCAACCACAAATTCTTCATCAATCTACTATTCCAGAATATATTTTTCCAAAATAATATGGCTCAAACACACCCTACATATTTTTTAAACTTTATGCATGCAATAAGTAATAAAATTACAAAGAGTTAGTCATCTGTCGCGTTCATCATGAAAATTAAATATTCTGAACAACAACAACTTTCTACTTCCTATACTATTTATAGTCAAACCAATTAGATATTTTCGATTAGGTCAATAATGCGTGCCTTTGATCCACACGCTAGTCTTTGTGTAAAGCTGACGCTTGTTTTTTTTTTTTAATCAAAATTCATTTGCCAAAATTACACGGTAATTAAGTTTAATCTTTTAACAAGAAACACTGATTTTTAATCAAAGAATTGTAAAAATGTCAAGCCAGTCTGGATCAATGCGACACGACACGTCATTTACTTTATTTTCTTCCATGATAAAGTACACGATGAAATTTAAATGTTTTCTAATGCAGGTGACCGAGTTAAATTGTGGTGGATTAGTGATTGGATGCACATTTGATCACCGGGCTGCGGATGCCCACTCTGCCAACATGTTCCTCACTGCATGGGCTGAGATCTCTCTGGACAAGCCAACAACCCACATCCCATTTTTTCGACGTTCACTTTTCGTTCCGCGCTGCCCTCCACAACATGATGAATCAATTGATAAAATGTATGTATTATTATCATCTATACCCCCACCTCCAAAGGAAATCGAGGTAAGTAATGATCACCTATTAAGCCGAATATATTACATAAAAGCCGAACAAATCGATCGCCTCCAATTTCAAGCCAGTGAAAATGGAACCAGAAGAAGCAAAATGGAGTCATTTAGTGCATTTTTATGGAAAACAATAGCCGAGGGAGGAAATGACCTTTCCAAGGCAGTAAAATTGGGCATTGTAGTCGATGGAAGAAAAAGATTGGAAGGAAGGGAAGAGAAGAATTTGTCATTACAAAACTATTTTGGAAATGTTCTTTCGATTCCTTACACAGAGGTAAGCGTTGGCGAACTGAAGTCAATGACGCTCCAAATGGCTGCAGATTTGGTGCACTCCTGCGTAGAGTCTGCTGCAACAGAGGAGCATTTTTCTGGGCTCATCGATTGGGTAGTTAATTATTCCACCTAAAAGTTTAAACTGTTAGATAAAATCGTATTTATTCATTTATATCTTATCTTTAACAAACACGGTCATTTCTACACATCCTTCACGTATAGGCTTTTCTTTTTTTGCTTCCCATTAAAGAAATAAAATGTACACAAGTTTTTATAAATGGTCGCCCCAACACTTAGTTTGGCTATGATACTATAGGAATTATCTTTTCCACCATTAACGTGGCGCCGTCACATCAACGGTCGAGCCTATCGCCGTTTAATGGTAAAAAATTATAGGCTTGACAGTTGAAGTGACAATATCATGTCAATGATGAACAAAATAACTCTTACCTAAAATGAGTAAAAGATCATTGTTATACTACTATATTAATCATCTCATTTAAAAGATTGAGCTCTTATGGAAAGATCATATATTTTCATTTCCATCTTGACTTCTATAGGTAGAACTCCATAGGCCAAAGCCGGCGATTGTGAAGGTGTACTGTGCAGATGCTAATAATGAAGCCGCCATTGTTGTATCCTCCGGACAACATTTTCCCGTGACGAAATTGAACTTCGGATGGGGAATTCCAGCGTTCGGGTCATACCATTTTCCGTGGGGAGGCCAAACTGGGTATGTGATGCCAATGCCAATGCCAAGCGTGAGAGAGAATGGAGATTGGGTTGTTTATATGCATCTTATGAAGAAGCACTTAGATTTGGTTGAGACAAAGGCATTTGATGTGTTTAGGCCTTTTGATTCTTCTCATTTGAAACTTGCAGTTGATGATTGAGAAATTGTATGATGCGGACATCCTTGAGATTTTTTTTTTTTATATATTGTGAATTTGCTTATATTATTTACGTTTCTATTATTTGGCTTATATTTTAGGTTGGCTCAAGCCCTTCAGTATATTAGGTTTTTACTATTTATTGAATTTTTCATTATAATTTAAATGAATGAATAAAATTGAGATGGGCGGCAACCAACGCTTTTTCCCCTTTTCCCTGACTTTTCTTTTCTTCTTCTGCCGGCTTCTTCCTCTGTTCTTCTTTTTCTATTTTTCTTCTACTGCTTATAAGTTCTTGACTTGAATTTCAATTGATCCTACATCAAATTTGGTATCGGAGCAATTTATACTATTTTCCCAAATGATAGAGCAATCTAGACCTCCGGGTGTTCATCTTTTCTAAAATCCAGAAAATTCTGTTGTCCTAAAAGCAATGGCAAGCCCAATATCAGAAAGCTGCATTCCACATCTTCATTACAACAGTTACCCAAATCAAAAGGAGAGTCCAAAGCCGAATTCCATTACATCGCTACAGTTTCAGTCTTCAGTAATATTAACAGGTAAAGTCATCATCGTATACCTGCGACTAGGGGTGTCCAAAAGTCCTGAATCGAACTGAACCTGAATCGAATCGAACCGAAACGAACCGAGCAGTTCTTCATTTGTTAAATACCCGAATGGGTACCCGAATCAAGAACCGTGAGTTTGGATCGAGTCTCGGGTCTAGACCAATAACCGAATAAGAACCGAAACTAAATTATTTTTTTTATTCTTTATATTGAATTAATTAAATTATTTTATTTTTTTTAAACAAATTAGCAAATTAATTAAATAAATCAGATTATTTCATAATTTTAATTTTAAAGCCCAAATCATTTTTAAAACCCATTAGCCCATTTTAATTTGAAGCAAATGAATATACTTTATGTAGTGTTGCTGTTTTGTAAAGATTATGGACCTCCCCCATAATTATATCTTAATATTTGGTATTTATATGCATTGGATTAATGTTATTCGACAACTAGTGATTTATATATTTTTGAATTGGACTACGTTAATTTGTAAAAATTACGAATGAAATGTTATTAGTTGTATTTATATTGTGTTGCTGTAAATATTAAAAAATTTAATTATAGTACGGAACCGAACCCGAACTGTTTCATAATTATATTTGGACCCGACGGTTCCATTTATTAAATACCCAAAAATTTTGGGTCGGTTCGGTTCGGTTTCCCAACCGATCCATGGACAGCCCTACCTGCGACGCTAGCAGGTATCGCAACACCAGTAGAACCACAACCAATCTTTCTCGCCGGAAACCAGAGTCGACGCCAGTTGCCATCATTGTGGATAGAAAATCTGAATTGGAACCCACAGAATTACGCCTTCAATTGCCGCATCCCATTTATCTAAATTTTCTATAGTAACCAAAGGAAACGACCGAGCAGACAAGGTCGTGCCTACTCACCTCCAGTCGTCGGTACGAGCGTCTCAATTTGGGCCTCAGTTTGTGTTCTACTTGTCTGTATATAGAGTGTGATGGGTAATTTGGGCCTCGATTTGAGCGTAGAGTGTGATCGGTAATTTGGGCCCCTACTTTTATTATAAGTGAAAGTTGTTTTTAGTTTTAAAAAAAAGTGTAAAAAAAGAAGTATTTTCTAACATTTTTTGTAGGTACCTATCTTTGACCTGTTGATTGACTCAGTTACTTCAACGAACAAAAAATAGAGCTACTGTTTCTTTATCTTTGATGCTCAGTTACTAGGTATTCCATTATTTTAAGGAACAAAATGAGAGCTACTATTTCTTTATCTTTAGTTTATATTATTGTTTCGTTTTAAAACTGCAACATTTAAATTTTTGTGCTACTATTATTTTAATCTTTACCTACAATTCACATCCTTAAATCCATAACATTGTTATATTTCCAATTTTATCCTACTTATTTTAAGGGATTAAGTTGTTGACTAGTATTTGACCATTGCTTTGTTATTTTACAAAGATCAACGATATTAGCTTACCATATTTGGATTTACATAATTCCAAATAAATAAATTGTAAATTTAAATGCTTAGGTAGTTATTCTCAGTTCTTGAACGAGTTGTTTATTGATCTCTCTATATACTTCATTTGGCTGGTCGTATATTGCATACAGTTGCGTAGTAGTCGTATTGTCATATCTAGTTCTAGTACCTTGACCACAGACCCTTTTCACCTTGATGCGCTAACCCGACAATTTGCACAACTTGCCACTAACCAACAATAGTTACAAACTCAATTAGCGACTGTAAAAACTGAGATGGCTGCTACTCGTAAAGAGAATATAGACTTAGCTTCTAGGTTGAGAACCTTTGAGCAAACCCCACATTCGATTGAAGCTAAAAACTTTGAAGCGTACAGTAATATGCATTATCGTCGTCCCAAAGGTGGCCGACAACACGTTGACATAATCATAGGGATGGACATCAAGTTTGTGAACGGGAGCAAGAACATCACCGTCACAATACTCAGTTTCCTCACTACGATGAGCGTTTCTTTTGAAACATTAAATTAGATGCCCCAACATTTGATGATTTCTTAGATCCTAAGGTATTTACTCAATGGGCTAGAGATATGTATCGTTTCTTTGCCTAGGGTCTCAGAAGATCAGAGAGTCCAATTTGCTAGTCTGAAATTAATTGGCACAGCTTAACTCTTTTAGGAAAGTGTTGATGAGCTCCTTGAGAGACGTCATGCTCCCCCCGTTGGGAGTTGGGATGAAATGAAGCATCGAATTCAAGGAAGCATTTACCCCAATCGTATATGGGTAATTTGTTGGATCAATGGAATGCTCTTACGCAATGCAATCGACCAGTGATATAGTACGTTACTTATTTCGATGAATTCAGAATGAGGTGTCAGGTTGTTGAGGATGAATCCATGACCTTAAGTAGGTTTAAGCAAGGTCTTAGAGATAATTTTAAACGCGAGCTTGTCCTTCGGGGTGTTACTACTCTTGACCATGCTTATTCTTTCATCCGAGACTTTGAGTTAGTTACTAAGGTTTCGTATAGAAATCGTGGTGAAAATCGTACCCCCATCTCCTCAGCCCCCATTCCTCCCTTTAAGTTGTTCCTAGGGCCTCCCCCATCTTAGGTTCCTCTTGTAGGGGAAAATAAAGGTAAATGTCCTGAAATTTCAAGGACGTCCTCCTGCTTACAATATTTTAACTGTAAGGGTTTTGGTCACATTTCCTCTAACTGTCCTAGTAGAGCCCTAGTTATGAAGGAACGTGAGAGTGTAGTAGATGACCCATTGGAGGATCGAGTTTATGAGCCTAAGTTTGAAAAGTTTGAGGGCTTAGATGATAATGAAGATACATTCTTAGGTTATTCGGACTCTCTATTCTAGGGTCAGAACCCTTTATTCCTGACACGTCTAGATTTGTACCCTAACTTAACCCAAAAATGCCGATGATTCGCGTCGTCATGCCATTTTCCACCCTTACATCAAGATTAATAATAAAGGTTGTAAAGTCATTACGGATAGTGGTAGTTGCATTAATGCAGTTTCGATGGCTACTGTATCCCATCTTGGGTTGAAACCAGTTCCTCACCCTCAGCCGCAAAGCGTCTCTTGGGTTGATATTTCCTTGATAGCTAAAGAAAGTTGTCTGGTACCTATTCAGTTTCTCGAGTATAANGTCTAGTACCTATTCAGTTTCTCAAGCATAAGGATCATAAATGGTGTGACGTCATTTCAATGGATATTGTTCACGTCATTCTTGGTCGACCTTGGTTGTTCGATTTAGGTGTAACCATTTATGGTCGATCCAATTCATATTCCTTTATGTTTATTGGAAAGAAGATTCACCTTAACTCACTACCCCCAAAACCTGTTGACTCAGCAAAGAAAAGCGAGGAACGAAAATGGTTACATATCATTAACCCTACGGAGTTTGAATGCACACTTTTGGGCGATTCATTTACTTTGATGACATTCTCTTCTATAGTAAAACTAAAGAAGAATACCGGGATCATCTCAAACAGGTTTGTTCTGCCCTTCGTGCAACAAAATTGTGTACTAAAGTTAAGAAGTGTTCTATCTTCACCAATAGAGTTGTCTTTCTAGGATTCATTGTATCCTCCACGGGGGTATCTGCTAACCTTACCAAGATTCAGGCAATTGTTGATTGGCCTGAGCCTAAGACTATACATGACGTTAGGAGTTTTCATGGCATACTTACATTTTACCGCTTCATCAAGGGATTTAACACAATCATGTCTCCTATTACGGAGTGCATGAAGAAATGCGAGTTTCATTGGATACAAAAAGCAACTAAAACTTTTAAGCTAGTCAAGAAGAGAATGACGGAAGCTCCTATCATGCGCCTTCTCGACTTTGCTAAAGTTTTTGAGGTAGAGTGTGATGCCTCCGGAATAGGAATATGCAGAGTCTTTAGTCAAGAACGTCATTCTGTCACTTATTTCAGTGAGAAGTTAAATGATGCCAAACAATGATACTTGACTTATGATAAAGAATTGTATGCAGTTGTACAGGCATTGCGCTATTGGCGCCGTTATTTTCTACCCTAAGAGTTTGTTCTTTATTTGAACCATGAGGCATTCTGTCATCTCACTGCCCAGAAAATGGTTGAATTCTAGGCATGGTAGCTGTATTGAATATTTGCAGGCCTATTCTTTTGTTTTGAAACATAAGATGGGTATTGAAAACCAGACGGCTGATGTATTAAGTCGTCGTATCTCCCTTTTGTCCGTTATAAGCATCAAGGTAATAGGTTTTGAACCAATTAAGGATGATTATGAGTCATGTCCCGATTTTAAGGATATCGTTGAGGACGGTCGATACTGCGGATGGCTTTCTCCTTGAGGAGAGTTACTTTTTAGAGCCAATAAATTGTGGATCCCTCGAACTTCAATGCGGGACTTCATAGTATGAGAAATTCACGTGGGGGGTTTAGCCGATCACTTTGGGCATGATAAGACCATAGAGCAGAATGAACG